CCTTATTCAGTTTAGTGTCTCCTTGAATCCAATCTGTGTTTTAAATTTTTTGTTCAATATTAAGATAATTGGAGACACTTCAAGCAGTTGTAAAATATCCTATCAACATTTTGCTAATTTGCGGTTAGTGTAAGAACTAAATAGAAATTTGCTTTGCAGTTGTCATTTCGTGCCCAAGTCTTCTTAAAAACAGGCTACGTTGGCTGGAGCATGTTGCCTCAGGTACCAAACATGGACTGTGATCCATATTCCATACACTGCACAGTGGTTTGATATATAAGGAAGGATTCTAGGATAGGAAAGTTATCCTACCAGAAATGTGCGCCTGCATAGATGTGATTATGCAACGGTTATATTTTTAATACCACTGCTACAAAACAGCGTCTATCCTTTGCTTGTCAAGCTACACTTACTTAAGCCATCACTACTTGCACAATACAAGGACATCCACAGACTGCTCTGAGACACTTGGAGAGTAAAGGAACATCTCTTGTGTTTCTGGAAACATGAAAAAAAAATTATTAAAGAACTTTAAATTAAAAAACCACATTGACCTGATTTTCAAGTGGTACTAATTGTGATTTCAGTAATATACTGTTAATAAAAATAACAATAAATAGGTAATAAGAGTGTATAATTGTAAGCTGCTGAAAGAGCCCGAATTAAAATCTCCGCATAGACCTGATGGGTTTTGGGCAGGGAGTAGTTTGAGTGTAGCACAAAGCTGTTCTCAAGAGTGTTTGTTCATTCTCTTTTCACCACCTCTATTCTTTTTGTCATGAATTATTAATTCTTAATAAGGACAGCTTAACATCTCCTTTGTCGCTCTCAGGGGAGAATTGTTCGTGAGTAAATTGAAAAAATTTAAATGTTGAATGCAGCACGTACTCCTCCTCTCCCCTCATCAGACTGGTACTTTTTCTTCTCCTCTATCACCATCCATCATTTTCTCTGCTTAATAGAAAGGCAGGAAGCATGTCGCTGGTCGTTGCCTGTTTTTAAAACCCTCTAATTGCCCGGAGAGTGAGGTGGCGCTTGCTAAGCTGTAAATGCCATAGGATGTTTCCTGTGTTCCGAAAACCTTAAAGTATCTTCAGATATCTCTCTTCTCCCAAGTCTTGCTGTCCACTAATCTAGTGTCTTGTCTCTCCTGCTGCAGGGAGCTGGCAGTGATGGCCTTAGCCGCTCTTCCTCCACATGTTTTCCCAGAGTAACTGGACTGGTCCTCCGGTCTCCATCCAATCTCAGACCTGCTGCTGCCCCCGCCCTGCTCTCCTCTCAGGTATGATACCATCTCATCACTCTCTCTGCTTTTGTGTCATGTATCAGCCTGTGTCCAGACTGATTTTATATTAGCTAGCTACTTTTGAGAAGTGTTGTTGATGGATGCCTTTTTTCAGGCCAAATTTACTGTAATAGCATTGTTACTGACTGACTGAAAAACATTAGACCTGTAACTTAACTGTAACTTTAAGACAATTATATTCTGCCATATTTACTCTGGGAGTATTGACTGAAAGAATATAATGAATCATGAGTGGATATACTCAAGTGCTCCAAAATGTTTCTAGTTGCACTTACAATCCATTATGAACATCAACTTTAGTGAAAGTGATTTGCACCACTGATCAATAACAAACCATGACTTCTACAATTCTGCCTAATGAGTAATGTAATGTAAAATGTAGTCCGAAACAGAGGAGGCTATCCTAGCAGCTGTGTTACATCATCCACTTTTATAAAGTCTTTCTCTGCAGGTGTATAAACTGGTATAAACAAAAGAGCTCTCTAGTTTGCAAGCCAGCTAGCGAGGAGAGCTTTTGTGACTAGCATTGGCAAGTTACCCACTGGCTTTTGTATTTCCCAATAACAAAATATAGCACAATACATGTTGCATTCACCTTATTCACACACACATGTGCCCGACTGCACATCCGAAAGAAATAATCATCACATACACTGATTGCACAGCCTTCAGGGGCTGGGTTCAGTATCTTGCCCAAGGACATATCAACCACTAGTACAGTGTTGATCTTTTTTCTTGACTTTTGCCTTCAGCTGCTGTAGTAAGCCACTAGTTCAGTAAAGCCTAGTTCACCTACACGATTTTAAGCCCGATTTGCCGCTCGTCGAGCTTAGCTAACGTTGCCGGTTGCCAGTTGTTATGTGTGAATTACACACGACGCATCAAAACGGCTCCCCGACACATTTCTGACACATCGCTGACGTCTGCCAGATATCTAGCATGCCAAATATCTGGAGGAGTCGGCCGACTTGACATCCAATCCAGCCAATGAGAGCAGGCAGCTACTTTTTTTTTTTTTACAGCAAAACACTTTTTACTCACCTCCAGCTCTCTCTGTAGCGTGTGCTAATCCATTCTGTCACCCAATTCTTGTCTTTGTAATTACTATCTTTAACAAATAACAACAGCTGTTTCATGTGTAGGTCACTTCCTGTTTCACATTTACTTTTAACGTACACATGTAATATGTTTATACTTTCTGTGAATATAATCCAATTAAACTTATTTCCACACTTTGTAGACACCTTATTTTGAAAACCAGACTTTGTCACATGTGTTTCCTCGTGCTAAATTCATCAAGTCCGACACAGTTTGATAAATAATGTTGTACATGGTTCTCGTACGGCGTAACATGAAGACTTCACAGCCTCTCTTCAGGTAGGACTCCTCATACTGCAGCACTTGTCTTTGTAAAGAACTGAGAGGACAAGTTGCTAGTGCAGTGGATGTGCTAGGAGACAATTCAGCAGAACAGCGTCTACAAACAACGATTTTTGCGTCTTTCTCAGACACTTTAAATGCTTTCTGGTGTGATTCAGCCTCAAGACTAACAAGAATAATACACCCATCAGCTATAACATTATGACCACTGACAGGTGAAGTGAATAACATCTCGTTACAATTGCACCTGTCAGTGTGTGATATATCAGGCAGCAAGTGAACATTTTGTTCTCAAAGTTGATATGCTAGAAGAAAAATGACCAAGCATAAGGGTTGGAGCGACTTTGACAAGGACCAAATTGTGATGGGTAACGAATGGTCAGAGCATCTTTAAACCTCAGCTCTCATGGGTTGTTCCTGGTCTGCAGTGGTCATACCTATCAAAGGGGTCAAAGAGGAAATTAGTGAGCCGTTGAAAAGGGTCAAAGGGTGCCTATGCTGACCCCTGTCCTGCCGAAAGCACCTACAATGGGCATGTGAGCATCAGAACTGAACCACGGAGCAATGGAAGAAGGTGGTCTGGTCTGATGAATCACGTTTTCTTTTATGTGGATAGCTGGGTGCAATGCGTCGCTTACCTGGGGAACACCAGGATGCACTATAGGAAGAAGGAACCCGTGGAGGCAGTATGATACTTTGGGCAATGTTCTGCTGGGAAACCTGGGGACCTGCCATTCACGTGGATGTAACTTTGACACATACCACCTACCTAAGCACCGTTTCATGGAAATGCTATTCCCTGATGGCAGTGGCCTCTTATAGCAGGATTTGCGCCCTGCCACAAAGCAAAAATTGCTAAGGAATAGTTAGAGCAACACCACGTGTTAAAGGTGTTGACTTGGCCTCCAATTCTCCAGATCTCAACCGAGTCGAGCATCTGAGAGATGTGGGTGGTGATGCCGCAGTGGATTAGACGCATGCCTTTGGCGTGAGAGACCTGGGTTCGAATCCACTGTGAGACCCATTGTCCCTGAGCGAGACACTTAACCCCTAGTTGCTCCAAGGCGTAAGTGGCTTTGGATAAAAGCGTCAGCTAAATTAATAAATGTAAATATGCAACAAGTACGATCCACGGACGCCCCACCTTGCAACTTACAGGACTTAAGGATCTTCTGCTAACATCTTGGTGCCAGTACAACAGTACGCCTTCAAGAGGTCTAGTGGAGTCTTGATGGGTCAGGGCTGTTTTAGCAGCAAAGGGGACCTTCACATATTAGGCAGGTGGTCATAATGTTATGGCTGATTGGTGTATATTAGGTCAGCTCCTAACTCACGCTGAGTACCACAGCATCAACATAAAATGGAACCTTTAAACCTGTACCAGCACTGGTTGTGGGATTTAACATTTCCTCAACTGTGATCGTTCCATTGACTACGATGTGATTGTATTAATCAATATATTTACCATAGTCCTAATTATAACAGCATAATATTGTATATTATTTTAATTATATTTTAAACCAGTGCCAAATATTGATTATGGTCTTCTCTGAATGTTGTAAAGCTTATTTTATGTTGGTTTAAAGTGAGCTGAGCCAGAGCACAACCAGAGAGAGCTGACGGGCACTGTGCAAGAAAAGTGTTCAGTTAATGAAGCATCTCTGGGATCCTAATTACCCCCTGGTTGAGGCGCTCTCTGGGCACTATGGTGCTGAGAGAAGAATTGTGCGTTTCACACTGCCATTACCGTAAATCAGATGAGAGGGCCATTTCTTGTATCAAGGTAATCCCTTTGGCATCAATAATTTATCTGCGCTGTCACATCAAGGAGCTTGTGTTGTAAAGCAGGTCGGCCGTACATGCACGACAGCACAGGTGAAAGGGAGGACAAACATGGCAAAGCCGTTGTCAGGTGGATTAATTCATTTAGGGACTGGAGAAAAAGTTAAATGATCACCATAGGGAAGCTAGGGGAAGTGATGATATACCATTTGTACTTTATAGTAACAATGAGAAATGCAAACAAGCAATTCAAGTGTATAACAGTCCTTTATACACATTAGCCTGACATGTAAGTGTGTGCACATGTGTGTTAAAACTTCCAATCCTCATGTATGGGTGTTTTGATAGTGACAGAAAGGAAGAAATTATGAACAGAAGCAGCTGAAATGAGTTTTACTCTCTACGTGTGTAGCCTCACAATTAGGGACAGGATGCCCCCTGGACGCCTCTGTGAGCAGGTATGCTTGGCACAGTCAGCTGAGCAGAGAACCTGGGTCAGACCCAGAACACGCTGGAGAGATTATTATATCCCATCTGGCCTGGGAATACCTTATAATCCTCAAGTAAGAGCTGGAGGTTGTGGATGGGAAAACAGAACCTGCTCTGAGCTACTGGAAAACATGGCTGCTCTGCTTAATGACTCAGATCTGGATAAACAGCTGACAGTGAATGGATGGATACCTGTAGTGCATTAGTCACTGTATTAATAAGACATGCTAATTTGCCTCTGGGCTGAACTGCTTGAGTGTGCAACAATGTGTATTAATATGCAGCACCCTCCAATACAAAGGAGTAAAGGGAGATTGCGAACACAGGATTGCTCGTGGCAAAACATATTACACAGAGTTACTTTAGTTTACATGGTACAAAAATGTGGTTGAAAATTATTACAGTGATCCATCCCTGGCTGCTCCTCTTCATCCAAACTCAAAGTTATGAGTTAGAGCCAGGCCGCAATATTGGCAGAAATTTCAAAAATCCAGTACAGAAATGCCAAACTAGGTTTGCGGTAATTTAGCAACTGTGCCACCATTACATAGTTTGTCCACCAGAGAGATCTAACAAATTTTACAACTACAAAATGTCCCAATTTGTATGTATCTTTGTTACAATTGGTAAAATACAGGCAATACTCAAAATTAGTCTCTCCATATTTGTTTTGTTTCTTCTGTAAACACATGTGCCTGATAGGAAATGGCAGGACAGGAATCTGTCAGCAGGCTTTATGCAGAGATTTATGCAGATTTGAGTTCAGTCATCTCTATAATGTCTTTGACCGGCAGCCCCAGATGCTGGTTGAGACTATCCACTCCAGCCTGCTCCTGGATGGGGAGTCTGTGTATAGCCTGGTGGCCAATCCCTTCCTCCTCCTGCTGGCCAGGGTTATTCTCACCAAGTGCTCCCCCAAGATGGACAGCCTACAGGTAAGAATGTCTTTCTGTTACAACCACTTCTTCCTGATGAATTTAGAGTTTTTTTGTAGATTGTTATTGTTAATAGTTACTCAGCCCCTAAAAGAACATTTTAGCATTTACAATGCCTTTTGTATTTGTAACCACAGAGAGTAGGCCAGCCAAGCCCAGCTTGAGGACTGGTGTGTTTTTGTTGCTGTTAGCAGGGCTGTATGAGACCTGCCATGGCTTTATAGTGTATACACAAGGCCTTTCTCAATACAAAGTACTTCAAGTTTGAATTAGCATTCTAAGGATTTTCAAACTTGGCAAGTTGAAAGCAGAACTCTAACCTCCAAAGAATAGGAAGACACAATCAGTATGCAGTTGGGACAACAGCATGATTACACTGTTACACTTTAACACAACTGTACACCTGTTGTTTGGGAGGAAAAAAGGACCCAACTCAAAGGTCCACATGTGTTTCAGAGCTTTCAACCATATCAACCATGAGATCCAGTTAACAGGTAAACCTGCTAACTGGATCTCATGGTTGTCTTTACTGGGATGTGAACTTAAAAATATTAGATAAAATCTAATATCACCACTCAGCCTCTTTTTATTCATTCATATTATTGTCTGGCAAGATCTTTACATATAAATAGTCAAAAATAAAATTGGGTGGGGTTACACACATCTGATGCTGGGTGTGCTCAGAGGTAAAAGGGTAGAACACAGCTTATCTGCTTGCTGTTATGTTACTCTTTAACAAGCAGACAACAAGGGGTCGAGGTAGTTTATTTATCATTATAGAAAACAAGGTTGTACATTGAAGTGAATGTTTGTATTCCCTTTATGTTACACACATTGAACTTCGCAGATAATTAAAAATACATTAGAATTTGGCAACATATAAAATAAAACAATATATTAGGGCTGACCCTGAATAGTCGGAAGATTCCGGAGCCTGATTCGACTGTCAATCTCACAGTCGAAGCTTTGCAGTGAAACAAGGATCACACCATTTTGGCGATATGGGGGTGCTCAACGTCTGATTTTACATAGAACCACCAGTTTTCTCCCAATAAGTTAATATACAGCCTGTTACAAGATACATTTCAACGTTTAATGCTGTAAATAAACATGTAAAAAGAAAAAAAACTTTCAGAAAATGTTTTTAAAGTGCGTGAATAAATCCAAAAGTTTAACCCTAACCCTGGGTCGTCAGTGTGCATGTGTACGTGTAGCCCCAGCTTCACTGGTGTTCTGCTGAGTTGTCCGCACCTTGCGGGACATTTGGATAATTTATACTTGAAATAGACCCGCGAGGAACCGCGACGTGCATGCAGTTGTCGTCAGCATGCCATGCACGCAAAACTCTGCACAAGTCCGGTGAATGACAGGCAAGAGAGAGAAAAAGGGTCAGGAATAAGCCTCAGTTTAGCTAGAAATTTACAGTGTTAGTTGAAGCTCTGCAGCTTCTGAAGATTAAAGCGGAGCTATCGTGTGTTACCCCCCCCCCCCGGCTCACAATCGCAGCAAACAAAAACACACATGATTCGACTGTCAACTATAGGCAGCACTTGACGATTCTGATTTGACTATGTAAATCCTTTGTCGTGGACAGCCCTACAATATACACAGTTATTTATATAGATATATACATGGCCTACACGTATAGTCCGCCTCCTCATCCTGCTGGAGTCTTGCACTCCGTCGACTTGGAACACATTCCACCCATAAAGTTGCTCTTACTGTATAAAGCTTTCTTCTTCTTCTAATCTGTACGGTATGCAAATAACCAAAAGTAATATATATACAATAGTAAACTGGCAGTTGTCCTCTGGCCTCTGCTCTCCATAAGTCATAGCCTCTTAAAGAGCATATTAACGCAAAGTCACATAGGGCAGAAAATCATTGTTGCCCTGATGTCAGAGACGTGCTTTGCATCAGCTGTCAGATTCCTGTTCTAACATCACCAGTTTGGATGTGGACACAAGTGCAACGATGCTTTTCTGCTTTAGGTGATTTAGTGTTAATTTTCTCTTTAAATGCTAATGAGTGATTATAGCACTATTCTCCACCAAGCAGTGGGGAGTTGGGACTGGCTGGCTTTAAGTGCTTGTGACCTGACCACCACTCCCTCCAGATGATGATTTTCAACTTCCCCTCCTGTTCCCAACTCTTGTTCATCTATATTCTACCGCCTCTGGCAGCTGCTCACAGCCCATTGCACAACAGTAAATATGGAAGGAGAAGGAGAGGCTCTGCTGCTCAGGAGACTGACATGATGAATATATGTGTGAACATGCTTAGACAGAGCGTGTGTTATATATTGATTTGGTGAGACAGACAATTAAACCTCCATGTAACCACACAGCTGAGTATGGGGTCATCTTGCATTGGAAATGAGGCAGGAGAAATCCTCCCTGACACAAATACGCATTTTACATGGTTCACTTCCAGTCTGTGCTGAACGAGAACAGGATAAAGGGTAAGGGTTTTTGGTAAAAGAGGATCTGTAACACTAACATGGCTGCAAGACATTCATTTGTTTACCCTTCACATTCTGGTCTGATGCAAAAAGCAAAGTGAGGTCCAGCATGCTGCACTCTGGATGTTAACCTAAGCATGTACTTTCTGAGCTAAAGGTATGTTGTATTATTAAATCACAGTGAAATAACATCATTTAATATAAATACAACACTGCCATTCAAAAGTGCTATTTATTTATTGACAGCTTTGTGTGTTAATTACCTCACTTTAACACAAAATGAATTGAACCAAAGGACCCTCTGACAATATTTAATATCTGACTGAGAGCTCACAATGACACTGTTGACAGCTCTACATTCAGCTGCGTAAAGTACAGTTAGCCCCACACATGGGCGTAAATTTCACTAAACATAATATTTCTCAAGAGCAATTTTTGGAGGGGACACAAATAATACTGCCAAATTATCATGTATCACAGGATACGTGCAGACAGAGGGAAGTCTTACTAATATTTTTCTGGCTAACAACACAAAGCAATAGTTTAAATATGACTTAGACTCATAGGTTCACCACGCGGTCATAATATCCTAATTATCTTGTGTCCTCTTATGTTTCTTCTGAGACAGAGGAAATCTCTTAATTAGATATTTAACTGCAGAAAGTCAACTAATCTGCCACTTAAAATCATATTGAGCAAAACCCAACACAATGGTAGATTATGGTATTAGCCTTATATCAGTTCACGCACAAGCGTATCGCCATGCTAGCTGTAGTGAGATGCACCGATTAAATTTTTCTTGACTCATTCCAATTGCTGATTTTTTTAAAGGTCTGACCTGGTGATTCTAATTTTGGCTAGAACTATAATTGACAGCATACACAAACATCTCTTTTAATGGAAAAATATTTTTTTATAAGGATCTCCATCAGCACCAGTATGCTATTCTCACTAGGGTCCATTCAATTGTATGGTCATCATGAAACATTGATTATTAAATAGCAGTTGCATTTTCACTGGGAGGAGCTGTTTTGTATCCACAATCCAACTGAAAATAAATTGCATTTGAATTGATTTTTGTGTTTAATCACAAACCACAGTAATCTGCTCACCTTGCTTTTCCCGTCAGACACACATGTACACACCTACACCTGTCTCTCTCTTTCTCTCTCTCTCTCCCTCTGCCTGTTCTGTCGCTCTGACTTTATTTGTCAGCAGTTTTTGAAGACAACTCGCGTTTTGTGTTTTTTTCCGTGTGGGGAGAAGGCTTATTGTTCGTTACCGATGGAGACCTCCGTGGTATGAATGACATCGCTACGAATAGCTCTGTTCATTGTTGCTTTAACGTTACCTGGTCAGTGCTTTACAGTATCCATCATTATCTTCTAACGTGATACAAGAACGCGTTTGATTGTCTGACAAACCGTGTCACTTTACCTGTAGCGTCGATGACACATTCCCACATCTCAGCAATCGCTTTGGTGAGTAAAATGTTATTGCAAATAATAGAACAGCTAGAGCTACACAAATCAAACCCAACCAACCGTTTAAGTCCCTCAGAAACATCATATTTTCAAATGGAAATACTCAAAATATAGCAACACACCATTCATAGTCAGTCGTAACATTCTATTCATGGATTTATAGATTAAGTCATTGTAGATTTCCCACCAGTCATGGACGTTATGGAATTTCTTTAAGGAATATTAGGATGTTTTACAATGGGAACGCATTTCCACAACTTTGTAAGAGCATAGTTTTCAGGTAATGAAACCCATTTGTTACGCCCCACCCTTTGGTGGCTACATGGGGCGAACAACACTCTAACACTGACCCCAGACTAAACACAGGTAAACACCTTTAAAACAACCACATCAGTGAGATTTAATAACATAACACAATCAATCAAGAACACCAAAAACACAAGAACATAACACAAAATGCCCCAGCTGAGAGGCAGCAAGACCAGCAGTCCCAAATCAAAAAGCCTCCCTCTGATGCTGTTACAGGAGCTTTTAAAGACCGCCTTCCAAGGCCAGGTGGACCTCCATTCAGTAATTAGCTGGAGCACTCCTGGGGCAAAACTAGAAGAAAGAAAAGGAATATGTTGACCCTGGCTCAAGGGAGGCAACATAGAGGAGTCACAAACGTTTATTCTGATCAAAACAAGGTTTATTGCAAACAAAGTTCAACAGACAAAGAAACAATGGGTGGCTGCTGCTGACGACGCTGCTGCTCCTGGCTGCAGTGTGTGAGAGAGAGTGAATGGAGCTAGACGGGGGCTTTTAAAGGCTGGCCAGCAGATCCAGGGAATTGGGGAAATGAAGGGGAGGAGTTTCCAGGATACCTGCAAAACGGCACAGAGTAGCTTTGGACAGAACACCTCCTGCCATAAGCAGGTGGCTCTAAAGCAAATGTCACGTCTCTCAGTTAAATGTCACATCAGCTAACATACACAAATCTTAACTGACTGCATAAACGACCTAGACAGGGCATCGTCCTGGACAATTTCATCAAATGGTGTAATGATTCATACTTGCAACTCAGTGTCTCAAAGACTAAAGAGATGCTGATCGACTTCCGCCGAAACCCTCCTGTCGTGGCACAGACTTTGATCAATGGCAGAGCCATAGAGACTGTCAATATAGGTACTGGGTACCTTCCTGGATGATAAATTTACTTTTGATGCCAACTCTGATTCCATCTGTCAAAAGGCCAACCAGAGATTGTTTTTCTTGAGGAAGTTGAGGGGTTTTAACATTGAAAGATCGCTTTTGAAAATGTTTTATTAAATCTTTTATTGAGTAAATTTTAACTTTTGCAATGATCTGCTGGTTTGGCAATCTCAGCATGGTTAACAAAAATAGGCTGAGAAAGATTGTTAAACTTTGCCAAACTAGAATGATCTTGACCGTGTTTATCAAGAGAGAGACATTCGGAAGGCAGAGGCCATTTTGACGCTTGACACCCTCTTCTTACAGAGTTTCAATTTCTGCCATCAGGGAGGAGGTACACTTTCCCTAAGGGGGGGCAAATCAAACTGATGGTTGAGATAATTTGTTCCATCAGCTGTTGGGTTTTTAAACAAACTGTAGGCCCTGTTGCACATATACTGTAATACAGGAGTTATGGAAACACTGTGCTCTGTGTCTCATGGTAGCTTTATTGTATGTTGATAACACCTATTATATGTTATATGTTCTTATGTCTTCTATTTATTATTTGGTTTATGATGTGTACTGACTACTGTTGCAAACCAAATTGCCACTTGGTGACAATAAAGGCTATCAAATCAAAATCAAATGTACAAAACATAAAGAGGCATCAGACAGACTGAAACTGTCAGAACTGCTGCCGCTTACTCTTCCCATCACCTTCTTCATGAGTTCTCATTACCTTGGACATATTCTTACTGGTTTCTTATGGGGTTTTTTTATATGTATTTTTTAGCTGCTGCCCTGGTGGACCCTGCGCTATATCAACCTGCACCAGCAAATCCTGGAGGCCTGTTCTCCGCAGCTTCTCATCTTGGCCCATAACAGCATGGACAAAGGTCAGTGAACGCTTGAGGGTGGATTATTTTGACCGATAATGCAATTGTGATATGATTTGCAATACTAGGGGAATGATCATTTTTACAACGTTAATCTCAATTTTTTCAAAACATGTACAAAAAGTTATGGTGTGATTTCTGCGGTGGTCTGTACCAAAGATGTTTTCATAAGTCTGTAGAATATGTTGTGTAGGCCAGGACAAATCTGCAGCACCACAATATATAATTTAGAAAGGTGACACACACGTTTTCCTGGCCAAGCAGCCTCAGGACGGTATAGCTTATGTTAATAATCACTTGACAAGTTTGTTCTGCATTGCACTACAGGACTGGAGATTTCACTAGTTTTTCCACACACAGTAATACTAGTACTGTTATTGCTGTAGAAAGAATTTATCAGTGCGCCCTTTTTACCTAGCTCTGTGTGGACAGAAACTATACTGATGCACTACGGAGTAGTTCATTTCCTGAGCAATATCTTTCCATTAAATATGTTATAAATACAGCATGTTTCCAGCTCATTAAAGTTATATGAAATGAAATGTATTGTTTGGTTGTGTTACTCATCTGTATAGACTTCCTGTCGTAATGAGGCACAGAGCCTTGGATTAGCCCCTTACTTGGGTCATCGATTTTTATTAGATGATAGATCATATACGATTTACATGGATCTTTTGTTTGTAAATTGCTCCTATGGGAGATTTATGAAAAATCATGTTGAGCTGTCATTGTTGGCTCAGTGTTGAGTTTGGAGGGATGGATTTAACCCACAGGCTGCTATTTGATGACTACCATTTCCACAGATCTCATGTGTCCACTGGTGTGTGAAGCATGTTGTAGACATTGGTTTCATACAGTATCTGGGCTCACTCTTCCTGTGATGCTTACCTAAACTGTGGCATTGGGCCTTAATGCACTGAAGAAATGAAATAAGTTCTGAGGCTATTGTTTATTTTCATTAGAAAAATAGTGTGTGATAAACTGGTTTAGATATTTTGTGCCTCAAAATGTGAATTTTGTCCGCTCTTCATAAAGCAAAGCTGCTTTCCTTTCTGTTGTTATCAGAGGACATTTAAATGCTTCATTATTGTTTGTTTTGTGTTACTGGAGTGGATTGTTTAAAGGCTCAGGGTGTGTTTGTTGGAGTGCATTCTTTTGTGTGGTGGTTGACAGAGTGTGAAGGGTGAGCGGTATGTGCAGGCTACAAAACAGCCCAATCCATATTCCAGGGCAGCAGCTGGCCATGCAATCCTTTTACCAGTGGCATGAGGAGAGGTAGGGAGGATGCTGTGAAAAGCATGCAGATCCACCCCTCTGAGTTTTGTTTGTGAGTGAGATGGTGCTCAGTAGGGAACGTGTTGCTGACTTAATTTCCTGATGTGTCTTTAATCATACTGCCTTTTTACCATGGGTAGTCAAAACAACACTCATCAACTTACTTTCTCTTTATTTCTTACTTTTAGCTGGCGCATTGGTTGAATGTAATTCTCTGATTAATTACTCAGAGTGGGACAAACTCAAATGAATGTCATTTGTGTGTGTTTGCATGCTGTTTGAGGGTTTAGAAGAAGCAGTTTGTCTGCTAAGGCTGATCTAGCTGAGCCAAATGCTGAATGTTTGTAAGTGTAAAATGTAAATGCTCTGTATTTGTATAGCGCCTTTCTAGTCTTTTTGACCACTCAGAGCACTTTTACACTACATCTGCATTCACCATTCACACACATTCATACACTAGCGGAACAGCCAACCCGCTCTTCCTCCTGAGCCACAGCCGCCCCCACGTCGTTGGATCACGGTAGAAAAACCCCTTAAACATTTAAATATCTCCACTATCTCCATATCTATTACATCATAGCTAATAGCATGGCTAACTAGCTAACATCAGCTAGCAGTTAGCATTTAGCCTACTTTAGTAAAAAGTATCTGTCCATCAGGAAACTCTGTGAATCACCTTGGTACTGTACTAGCCTTAAATAATTAAAAACATCTTTATGACCGGTCCAAATAGTAGCACATTTGTTGATGTCAGAGGAATTATTCATGACAGTTATAATGGTGCCATGACAGCCAAAACCATCCATGACAGTATAATATGTGAACATAGAAAGCTAAATAGTTTCTTTAGGTTTGATGAATAATCCTTCCAGGGGACAGAAGTGTTGCATGTAAATCTCTCCCTCTCTCTCCCTCTCTCCCTCAGCCTTGGTGTAATTTCATGAATGTTGAATAGAAATGAAAGTGTAGGATTTCTGATCTTCAATTATACACATACCTCCTCTGTTTCTGTTCTCCTGCCTGTCTCCGTGACAGGGCCTTCATCAAGGCGAATTAATAATCAGGTCGGATGGAAAGAAAGACAAGGAGCCAGCAGCTCAGGGAGGCAGATGAGAGAGCGAGCTTTGATCCTCCCTCTCCATCACCTCCATGCTCTGTTTGTCTTTTTAATGTGTCACCAAGAACTTTATGAGTTCTTTGGGCCAGGAATGTGAAGAGGGAAGATGTACTTTGATCACATGGATGGTGCTTAGGGGACAACTTGGATGTCTTGGATGATGTTATTACTCCTGTATTTCAAACATTCTCACAGCTTCTTCTCAGAGGACGACCCTTCTCTCTTGTTTTTGTATAACGGGATGTTCACAGAGCGACCTGCACACTGGGATTTCTCCCAGTGCTCCTGGTGTCCAGTCCGACTATGTTTTGAATTAACAGCGGGGCTGGTGGGTGGTGGACGGTTGATCATTAACAAAACAAAAGTACTGAAACAGATATTTGGACCCAATGATGGCATTAAATGCAAAGGGGGGGATCACCAAAATGATTAGGATTCATTCACTGGTGACGACATGTCTGTACCGGTTCAGATCAATCCATTCACCAGAATGTATGTCAGAGGACCCTTCTTACTTTTTTCTGTGAGGTTGCTTGTGAAAGTGTTCAAAGTTTGATCCACCAAACTCTTTTAAATGGACAAATTTGGCATAAATCGCCAGTCAGTATGTGCATATTTATGAGATTTGATCATTGGCATAATTGTCATATAAAGCTGTCTGTTCCCTTTCAGAGCTTTAAGATCTGTTTTCAGAAAAAGCAGATGAAAACTCTTTTAGCAGAGTCAGTAGTGTCAGAGGATCTAAAACAGTTTGAAAATATTAATACAGGCTTCAGTTGCCAACAACGTGTCATCAGAGCAGCACTGCGATAGACAAAGGGGGAATTCTTTAAAGCAAAGCAGTCCCTGACTAACATACGAGGGGACGTGATGGTCATGGAGATATTAGACAAAGAATATCATAGCCTACAGTAGGTGAGGTCACACTGTTGGTGCAACAAAAGGATGATCCTGGACAGTGACTTGCATGTTGACCCTGAGGCAGCTGTCAGAGTGAGAATTTTACTCCTGTTTTACTCTATTTTCCTCCTATTTGCTGCTGTTATGATGATGATGATATGGTGAACAGAATTTTTAATTTTGATTTTATTTTATTAGATTTCGGTATCATATTTAAATTCCAAATTCATTTAGATGAAGACATTTTGTTTGTAAGAGAGAAATTGCCCTTTTAGAAATATAAAGGTAAAATCATGTTTCTCTACAGTCTAGGGCCTTCCACATAACAATTAATAGAGCTGGAAGTTGAAAAGCAAGAGTAATAGTACTGGCTGTTACATACTGATAACAATGATAAACTTGCCGCTTATATATACTTATATATCTGCACATATACTTCCAGAGACTGGATTGTGGGTAGCGATGAATTAATGTGAGCTCTTCTCTGTTCTTATTCACAGTGCTGAAATGCCAATCTCTGTTGTCGGAACACAGTGAACTGGCTATCCAGTTCCACCTGGAGTGTGTCTACACCAGTCTGACCTACTATGAGTACCAGCCAGCCAAGGAACACATCAAGAAAGCCCAGGAGCTCTCAGGGCTGAATATCAATATGACTGGTATGTAAAGTACCACAGCATCTGGTCTTGGATGATAATTGAGTCACTTTTAGAAAATGCATACTGTACATTCATAACAGGAGGCTCTAAACCCATATTGATGAAACCTTGATGAAAAATGTAACAACTGATTGCATCTGCTCAATCAAGGTGCTCTTGGCAAACGGACCCGTTTCCAGCAGAAATACTTGGCTCAGCTCATCCTTGAGGTCAAGAGAAAGCAGGGCCAGCCAGGCCAGATGGATGATGAGACCAGTCCCACCCCTACACCTCAAGCTAGCTTGCCCAAGGTATGAGTTTCTGTTGTCGTCTTTTAGAATCAGAAACAGGTTTATTGTAATGGCCACTACAGCTCTGTGCAAGATGGTGCTGGGAGCTAATCAAAGTTACATAATGTTTTCAAAAAAATAATTTTCTGCATTTGACAATGTCTTGTTCCCATGTAGCTATATCTTTACCTTCAGGGCATGTCTATCAAATAAATTTACATAAAGCAACACACACACTCCGGCAGAATGGGATTTCATATAACAACAAAGCTAACACTAGCTGTGCCACTGCTGCAGTATAAAGTTCCACAAAACGCTACTCGTGTTTTTTTTATGTTGCTACTACTCTTGTTATTTAGTTGGCTTTAAAGGAGGCTTAACGTTCACACAGTTTCTCTTGGTTGCCCCTCAGGATTACAACATTAGTCCAGAATTGCCCAGCCTACTCACAATACTCACTCAGTGGTCATCTGCCCTCTTGGCCTGTGGGTCTTGGCTGTCTTTTCCCATTTATCTTAAGGATCCTGTTGAAGGTCTCCAGGACACCTCTGTAAAACTTTCATGCATAGTAACAAAAACTGGCAACATTGAAATTCATAACAGTGGAATGATTCGGTTTCTGTTGGAATCAGAGGGTAATTGAGCAAAGGCACCATCGATGCGTCGTTTAAGAAGTAGGCTACTTTTGCTTGGCGGCAAACGTCAGACCAACATCCACAGACCAACAACCAGACAACTGCTTTACCAACACAAACATCACCCGAGTGCTACAAGTTATACTAAGGTGCAGCTCCCCGACACCCAGTTAACTCATGACTGCGACATTACAACACAAACTCACAGGGAACAACAAACGCACCTGTGTACATTTTCAGCTGAGGACTGCTTACTTTGGCTAGCCTTCAACTCAACAGTCAATCATGATTTCAATTAAATGCTAAAGTTGTTGTTACTGTTACCTTGTCTGTGGTCAGCTGGCAGAACACCGGCTGCTTTCTGATCAGATACCGTCGTGCTGTTGCCGAGGCGACAAAAGTTTCGTTTTACGGTGGACGGACTGTGACACAGACAGAGTGGTTGTTTTCTCTAGCTTGAAATAATCCCATACTTTGGACACTTTCTTCTTTGTCCCTCGCTATTCTCTCTCTTCCTCCACTTTGCAAACAGCTCCATTATAATCACGTTGTGTTGACAGCGTAAGCGCGATGTGCGACAGTAATAAATGTTCGTGTAAAACAGTGTGCTATGTAGTTATATGGATTAAACGAAGCTTACAATTTAGTAATCGATTTAATCGATGAATTGTTTCAGCCCTAAAGGCACCTCGTGCATGGCTGTGACTTCAACTGCAGGCTCGTCCTCTCTCAGCTGCATTTCTAAGCTAATATAGCTTGTAACACTGATTGGACGTCAACATAAAATATGCTAAATTGTCCCTTTTAAGAAATGATCTAGTCTAAACTCTGCTCTCTAAAGATGGAGCTCCTGTTGGTCCGCTCTAATTCACCTAGCAGCAATCTGACATCTTTGGTAGGTTAGAGATGATCTTGCCCAGAACCAAGTGTTTGAGATCACCCTAAGATCTGCCTTTTCTGCTAACCAGGATCTTCAACAGGGGCAAATAATTTGTAATACCCTGCATCATCAGCAGAGGGACACATCCACCACTGGACCCTTAATACCATATGAAGCCCGTTGCTATTGTCAATGTAATGGCATCCCCGTGCAACACACTCCACTCTATCTCCATATTTCTCTTGTTTTAAAACCATCATGTGACTGCAAACATTGCCTAGCTAATTGTGATCCTGTGGGTGAGTGAGTTTAACCAACAGCTCATAGAGAAGCTTTGTATCTAAAAATGCCAAGAGAAAACCAAAGCATCACATTTTGTGTAGCTGTACTCTACAAGAATCCATCTTTACATAGTAATCAAGTACATGTGTACCTGTTCAGCAAATCTGTGATAATCCTTCGTTAATCAGTTCAACAATGTAAATTCACTTCCCTCAAAGTATTCACTACATATATTATATGAGTCAATTCAAATCAGATTTATTGGCATGAATGTATAACAACAATATTGCCAAAGCTATAAATAAATTACATAATAACAATTAATTTCATACATTTCATTAGATAAGTAAATAAAACAGCAAAAGTTGTTTGTGTGTGTTAATAAAAAATAAAAGAATAATAATAAAAAATATATAAAATAGAAATTACGTAAAATAAATGTTAAAAGTAAATAAATAAAACAATAAGCGTGTGTGTGTGTGTGTGTGTGTGTGTTAGAAAATGAAAATAATATCTTTAATTAAAATAAATAACACTAAGTGTGTGTTTAAAAAAAAAAGTGTGAGTGTATTAATAGACAAAAAATAAGAAATTAATTAATTAAAAAACAACTAAAAAATCAGTATCAAATGTGAAATTTAAAAACAAAATACAAATAAAGAAACAATTACTAAAATATCAAACAATCAAATTAATAATTATTTGAAAATTAGTACAATTATTTATCAGTCTGAGTTTCCACTGGTTGTCCTCACTTCATGGCATGAGGAGACATATTTTGCAGCAATAATTTGACATTTGGGCATTTCTCCCAGTAAATAGGGGAGTTTCTGTGTGTCTGATATACATTTGAATTCGGGGTATATTTGGGAAATGTTTGCAAAGTGTTTTTGTCTTAGTGTAGAGTCTCTCCTCTTGTGGTAGCCAGCTCTGTCTGTGACAACCCTTTTCTATGGCCAGGCTGTGTTCACTCAGTCTGTATGTTGTCAACATTTTTCTTAGTTTAGGACATTTTATTGTGCTCAGTCTGAGTCTGTACAGACAGACTGCAACCTGACTGGCTGGTGGAGGAATGCAACTGCACAGCGTTAATTCTAGTGGTTTACAAAGAAAGGTTGAGAGCATCTTGGTTTTAAAACAATGTTAAAACAGACATCCACACATACAGACTGTCTGAAGTTGTCACAATGGTAAGCCTAATTCACAAACATTTACGCACGTCAGTCAGTGCAGTTGCTATTGAAAACATTTTTTGTTGCTATGTTATTGTATGATTTGGTCTTATGGGAAAAAATACATTTGATACATGCATTGACTATCCATCAGAGACATTTTGAGAGGTCTTTACACATCTTTTAAACAATACCCCACGCAGGTTAAATTTCCTTCCAATTCTGTTGCTGCCATCTACTAATCCGCACATATTAGAAAAGCAGGATTCTGGTCTGAGAGAGCTATTCTAGGCCTTATCACTCCTACTTGGGTTTCTTCATATTTATACTACACACAAAAATTCTACATGGTTCTAAAATATCTTAAAACTAAACTTTGTGAACCACGCAGAATTCCTGCTAACAACAGCCACCATAGCCACAAAAGATGGCCACCCCAAGAACTGTTACCAACATGAAACCCAACACAAATCATTGGAACAATGACTCATAAAGCTATCAATCAGAGCATGCATAACCTTCACCAAGGCTGCACAATCCTAAACATTTCAATAATGACCAGGAATATTGGGACTATGTCGCACATCAGGTATTCAACATTGAAGTGATTGATATTCTTGGTTAGTTTTATAGCCCTTTGAATTAGTCATGTAGCTGTAGTGCTATCTTTGGGAGAATGCCATAACATTTTGCACTGAAGCTGTTCTTGAGGCTCATGGTAGCCTTACTCCATACTGAGTCACTGTAAATTAAACCACAGGTACTCTGTATATGGATGTAGTGATTCTTTAAACTGACTGTTAGCTTATCAGTGAAAATTAGATAAAACATGAGCCATCCACTAAGCAGCATGCATGAAGGATTCAGTCTTGGAAGTTGAATGTCTCATGGTAGTTTTTCATTTAAAGGTTTTGGCTGCAAGCAATTTCTCAAAATGTAGTCATGCTTAATCCAAAAAAACATGCTGGCACACTTAGCAGCTCTTTGTTGTTTTCATGTGCCATGGTTCATGACTGCAGCATGTATGTACACATCTGACTCCATGTGTGTTTCCATGCTTACAGGACTACAGTCTGTCTGATGACACCGTGCTGGATAAGCTCAATTTAGCGGAGCCAAATCAGTATGAGCTGCCTGACCTCAGCGCAGAGGAGCAGGCCGTCATCCTGGGCATCTGGTAAGTCCTTAACCTCCGAGCTTAGCACTGTTTGTGCAGCATTCTGTTGAGTTGTTAAAACATAGTGAGATTAAAGGCTGTATGAGTTCTTCACAAGGAGACTGCGTGTATGTTGTGTTAATCTACCGGTTGTGTAACCTGAACTTCGGGAAAAACTTGAGGTTTATACGTTTATCTGTTACATGAGGAGAGACACCACCTCCTTTTACCTAATATGTCACTCTGACTTTGCTAACTTGCTATCTTGAAAAAGATGTTTTACATGGTCATATTGCTGGACAACCTGATTAACGGTTGGTCATATTTAGTTTCCCCTTTGTTTTTTTTTTACTTTGTTTACATTTGTTATAATAACTTGTTAGAAGAGAAAACCTGCTGTCTGGGAGCCTCACCTGTAGGCAAAGGCTTTGGTGTAGTGCGACATATTAGCAGTGGGCGTGAATCTCAGATTAACTGTTTTGTAAAGTTACAAAAGTTGTTAGATATGTGGAGTTAAGACAACTGACTTTACCTCAAGACTGTTAAAATGACAATTTCACCCTGTCCAGATATAGAACCTCTCCCTGAACTAGGAATATCAAGTTGGACAGAGGCCATAAACTAAGGCCTCCAAAATGGATCTCCACAAACACACACAGGCACACACAGGCACACACAGGCACACACAGGCACACACAGGCACACACAGGCACACACACACACACACACACACACACACACACACACACACAGGCACAGGTCAAAGAAAGAGGCCAGGTGTTTAGCAATATTGTCCTGGATTGTGCTGTTTACGTGTAACAGTTCTGATCGTTAAGAAGAATGAAAGCTTTCACTTTCCATTTATCTAATGCTTAGAAAATAAGAATTGTATAACTGTTTATGACATTTAAGAAGAGTGTTGATATTGTGGAAAGAGATATGATTAAAACACTTGCAAATAGACTTTCTTAGACATTACTCTTCGCCCCATCACTGTTTTAGTTTAAAGACGGAGTTTTGAAACAAATACGATCTGTCCACAGCAACGTCTTAGCTGTGTATCAGAGTTGATCTTAAGTTGTATTAAAACGACTGAAAACGCACATATAGTGGCTGTTCACGTACACTGGGCATGCACGTGCCGGTATAAACATGAAGCAGATGGTCTATTCCGTAGTTACAGAAGATTTGGCAAAAGAATAAGGTAATGCAGATGAAGAACTGCACCAGACTTACATTTTTACCAATAACGAGCTGGGACTGTTACTGAATGTAACATGGGAGTTAAAAGCAGCTGTGGTGGCGGAAAACAGACTGGGAGTCATTGCAAAGTAAATACGGTAACATGCAGAGTGCAAGTGTAGGCTAAAAGTGTTATCTGCACGGTACAAAATATTTTAATAAAAATACCAAATCAAAAACTGTCAGCAGCATCGTGTTTCTACTTTGCAGGACTTATGAGACCCAATCAGAGAGCCAAACGTGAGTGGCTGCGTCATTGTTTCTAAAGTCCTTCGTTTTTGCCCGTCTTCACTAAAATGCTAGCCGGAGTTTTAAAACGAAAAACTGGGTCGGCGATGTTTTCAAACTTCTCCGTTTTAGGTCTTTGTTTTTGTCGTTTTAGTTTGGACGGGAGCTGCAAACGCAGCAAAAGGTCTCCGTTAAAACTAAAATGCAGTAGTGTTGATGGGGCCTTAAAGTAAGGATTCTTAAAACACAGAAACCTCAAGGGACAAAAGACGACCTCCCAGTGTTGACACGCCCTGGGAGAGAGACAAACTAAACATAATCTGAAGCTGAGCTGAATGTTACTCCCTCATTTAGCACATACATTTCTGAGTGGCAGATAAATAAAACTTGCCTGCTACAGTAGCAAGCGGTGTAAAAAGTTCATTTCAAACTCTGGTCACTTCACAGTATGTATATTGGTCTATCGGTAAATAGAGTCTGTAGCAGGTTTCAGCACTTTCTTTTCTACTCCTGTTGTTTTTTTGCAGATGTCATTTTTCACTTTGTGATCTGTGGTTTTCCTCTAAATTTATGGCTCACCTACTGTAAATGGTGAACGTATTTGTAGCGGTGGTATCAGAAGGTTGAATGTAAGATATTCAACATAATATAAAACCATTCAGCTTCACTGCAAGTCAAAGATTAATTCCCGTGTAGCTGCTGGGAATGCAAGGGTCAAGTGAAGGTCAATGGAGCAGTCAGTGAGATTGCTAGGAGATGAGCAGAGGGTCTGTCTCAATTAATAGTAAATCTACACACCTGCATGCTCCAAGACATTATCAAAGATGACTATCTTGTACATTTTGGGTCTTCCACAGAGTAAACAAATAAGATTTATGCAAAATTTAAACAAGTACTCCATTGTCGTTTACAGATCTACGAAAAAAGCCTTGATAAAATATAATCTCTCTCCTGCAGTGACTTACCCTGGTATCTGTCATCGCCTTGTTGATGCATGGCGTAGGCTTGAATAGAACTGTGGGGTAAATTGGAGACACATGCTCATATTCTGAAAGTAGCATTTCTCTTGTCAGGGCAAAGGGAAAGTTATCAGGGAAACATGCATTGCTGGACAAATAACTGTTACTGGATCCATTCAGCTATAATACTGCACTGTTTGACATAACACAAATACACAGGTACTTGTGCATATAAATGGAAAAGACCTAAAAAGATGCTTCGGATAGCAGTTACGCACAAAGAGCACCAATCAAGTTGGAGTCATTACACAGCTGGTGTGAACAGTTGCATTAGTTAAATTAAAAGAGAACATAATTCTTGAAAGAGATGCATGACTGAAGAATGTGAGTGAAATGTGTGTGGGCAATTTTACCAGACACACAGGGCTTTCAAGAATTTGGAAGCGTCTTCATTGTAAGTACGTCTTTTATTAATGACAGCACATCCCATGATGTGATTACCTTTTATTACATTTTAGCCGGGGGTTTAAAAAGTTGAAACGTCACTGGTCAGGAGTTCTCCGTGGTCCTTTTAACTCTGGAAATGTGACCTTGTCTTCTCTTTTCTTCCTCTGTGTGTGACATGCTGGAATCTTTTACATTTACCTTTTCAGTAAGGTACATTAAAAAGTACATATTGGATTCTATACTTGACATCAAAAGCAATGTTCTTAAACTGATTGACTTTGTCGATTAATACAGTGTGAAATCTGACCCCATGATTCATGTACTGTTCAGCTTTGAAAGTTCATTCTTGACCTTGGAAATAGCAGTTTCACTAAAAGTCAGAATCTACTTACTAGATTGTTCAAGAGTATAAACTTGAGTTTTCAGGGTCAAGAATTAACTTTCAAGCTTAACCAGCTCAAATAAGTCTGTAGAAATGGTTGAAAGCCATGGGCGAGGCTAGTACATGGACCTTGAGTAGAGCTTCTTCCGCAAAGTGAACACTTTGTCAGTAGCTGGTAAACTTAGCCTAACGTTATAGGATTCAACCTTGTCAGAAATCAAGTATTTTTACTCTCATTCCAAACTAGCATACTCCAAAGAAAAGTCGCCCCTTCTATATTGTTTAATTATGGAGATAAGATCACTTTGTTGTCATTTTGCACCTCTTTGTGGCTATTTTGCATTGCATTGTGATTATTTTGCATAATTTTTGTCTTTTTGTGGTCGTGCATCTGTTTATGGTCATTTTGTGTAATTGTGGTCTTGGTCTTGGTGATCATTTTGCATCTTTTGTTTTGCATTTCTCTGTGGCAATTATGAGTCTCTTTGTGGTTGTTGTGCACTTCCCAAAGAGAAATAACAGTGACTTTAAACAGAGGCCCTGGCACATGGGGAAGGCCCAGGCCCTCTAATCCATCCATGTGAATAATTCATTTTCCCTTCAGACCCTGAAAGTCTAAATCAATTAAATTCTCTGAAAGCTGAAGCTAATAAAGATTCAGGTTCATGATAAACACTGGCTGGCTTTTGAGGTCGAGGAAGTAAATAAATTCAAAACAAACTATTAGGATCAGTCTTCTTCAGCAAACTGTGATTTATTTAAATCACATAACCTAACCTAACTTTACGACCCCAAAAACTAGAAATAAACTTTTGATTTATGTCTTCTGATTGTAATGAAAAGGGATGTAACCACAATAAATCTTTAAAGGGGAACTAAATTGGTTTGGTCTGCTTTTTATCATAGGGAAGATTTGTCTGTAATAATGTCAGTGCCTACCCACGGTCCGCATGGTGTGCCAAGAGATACACAGCAAACCCTAGGAAATATGTCCCACTCTCACCAAACACATACACAGATTCACACACTTTCAAAAAGAAAGTAAGTCAAAAGGTAATCTTTTGTCCCATACAGGCTATCAATCTGACGGTCTGATTTATAAACCCTATCTATACCTTGTATAGATTTGTCATCTCTATGTAAATCTGCATAGTGGCCTCTGTAAGAGAGAATCCTCAATACTTCCCTTCCACAGCTGGACCTATAGGGCTCTTTGGCCTTCTCTTCACTGTCTGGCTCCTTCCCATGCTAATAATTTATCGACCAGTGAGGGCTGCCTGGAGCATTGAGTGTAAAGGGGTGAATAGTAGAGGTGTGACGAGACACCTAACCCACGAGACGAGATTCAAGATTTGAAATTTGAGATTGGGTTCACAAGATCGAGACGAGATTTTAACACTATTTTTTAGAAATCTTTATTTAAATTTTTATATTTTTATATTTTATATACATTTTGAGCATTGACCACTTTAATTCCTGCATTCTGATGATTTTTTCTGCACCAGGTTATGGTGAAAATGTTTTTATTTATGTAAAGAGAAACAAAATTCAAGTAGCAGGTGACAATTCAAACTCTGCGGCCCAACTCTACCAGAATCTAAGTCAGTGCAGCTCTCAGTCATTCTGTGCTGCTATCAGATCTGTTTCTCCTGTAGATAAACTTTAAATATATATATATATATATATGATATCATCCCTGCTGAGTCATGATTTAGTCTTCTCTCCTCTTTGTTTCTTTGTTTGGGGAAGTAACCTCTTTAAATGTGATTGTGGCACCTTTTCACCGCAATGATGATAAATTATTTAATTTTAATTCGGTTAGAAACTCCTGGACTTTATTAGTTCCCGTCTTTGAGCAGCTTTTCTGCTCATGTTCAAAACTTTCTGCACATTCAGAATCTCTGACATGTCCAGAAAAAACACTAATGATAATATTACCAGACTAACGTCATCATTTAATGAGAAGTCTACCTGCCCCTTACTCTGCTTTGCATTACGTTACTGATCCGCTGGTAGTAACATTTCAGACTGTTTGACCGACGCAGTTTGGGACTGCATGTTGCATGTGAAACCGAAAGTAATTGGAACACTTATGATCAGGCAGAAATCTTTAGCAGCTCATAAAGTGCTCACAGTCCCAAACAGAGCAAGGTTGCGCCTCAGTTATTTAGATATTTATGTTGCAAAACTCTACCAGCTACATTACCACTCATCACAGCTGTCTGGACTCACAGCGCAAGCAGCGCGGTTCAGTTGATCAGGGCGTACGCCGATGTTGCGTCAGCTGGGCGGAGTTGATTCTCTCTGTGAGTCTATCTTACCAGTTAATTACATTTGTATTTCACTGTGTGAGAAAATTAATGTGTGGCTTGACAGGCATGTGGAAAATGTCAATTGCGTGAATCTTGCGAGACCGCTTTTTACCTGATGAGAAATATCATCATAATTTAATCTCGTGGAACAAGATCTCGTCACACCCCTAGATAATAGTGTGAATAGTATTAAAGGAAGTAAGCTTCTTGTATTCGCCTCTAGCAGTGGCTGTGGCTCAGGAGGTCTGGATGTCAAGGTGTCCTTGGGAAAGATACTGAACCCCAAAATGTGTGTGTGAATGATTAGTTTCTGTTTCTGATGAGCAGGGGGAACCATGGATGGGAGCCTCTGCCATTAGTGTATGAATGTGTGTGAATGTGACATGTAGAGTTAGGGGCTTTGTGTGGTCAGAAGTCTAGAAAACGGCATACAAGTACAGTCTATTTACATTATCAACCCATTGGAATTTTTACCGTATTAAACAGTAGAAAATTGAAAGGCATACTGCATTATTGCACCTAATCTTCCTGAAATCTAAATCCTTTAGTCCGGAAAGAAGTCAACCTCCTCCTTAAGCCAAAGCTGGACTTTCTGGTAGCACCGGCACCTACGTTCTATCTAAGCTTATGTATTTCATCTTGATTTCTGAGAGGAACCCAAAAGCAGATCGGACAAAAGGGAGTGAGTTTATTGTACAGTTATGGAATGTGCAACAGAGTGGACTGGCAGATGAGGGGAGGAGGAGTCCAGGAGGCTGCTGTATTGAGGGGAGCTGTCCGGTGGGCTTGAGAGTGGGGCTTGACCCACGTGACTGAGTTCCAGATAGTGAGCAAACAGGGCTGAAGATCCAGGGCTGAAGATCAGAATCAGCTAATGACATTCTACACAGCAATCCATCTCCTTCTGTTATGACACCTTTATGGCATAATCCAATAAATGAATTCAATCATAGTTTTTTTCATTTCAACACTGAAAGTCTTTATTCTGCTGGCAGCTGACACCAGACTCGAAAGGGATAAGCCCCTATGTTTTTGGTGACCCTTTGACTTTTCATCTAGCACCTTCATAAGGTATATTTAAGAATGTGAAATGTCAGAATAATATTAGAGAGAATAATTTATTTCCGCTGTTATTTCTGTCATCACAGTTTCAATGGGTCAGAATTTACATACACTGCCTTTAAATAGACTGCTCAAAATAATTAAGGGAACACTTACATCACACATATCTTGAATAAAATAGTTTGAAGTTCCAAATCTTCACTGTACAATGTAAATTCGCTGAGAACAAAATTACATAAAAACAGTTAATGGAAACCAAAATCACAAACCAGGCTGGATTCAAAATCACACCGAAAATCAAAGTACAGGGGGATCCAACCTGTGTGACTTTCATCACGGCAACATAATGTGTTTCAGTAGTGTGTAACATCTGAGCATGCTCCTGATGAGACGGCAGATGGGGTCCTGGGGGATCTCCTCCCAGACTTGGATCAGGGCATCACTGAGCTCCAGGACAGTCTGTGGCACCACTTGGCAGTATCGGATGCACTATACATAACATCCCAGAGGTTCTCAATTGGATTTAATTCTGGGGAATATGAGGCCATTCAATGGCATCAATTCCTTCGTCATTCAGATTCTGAAACCATACCATTGTACAGATGAACATTGTACCTTCAGGTGTTTGGAAATTACTCCCAAGGATGAACCAGACTTCTTTTGATTTTCCCATAATGTCAAGCAATGAAGCACTGAGTTTGAAAGTAGGCCTTGCTTAAAACACATCCACAGGTACACCTCCAGTTGACTCAGATTATGTCAATTAGCCTATCAGAAAGAGCCTTATAAACATTATACCTGCTATACACCAACATGTTAGCATAAGCATTTGAGCATGTTAACATGCTGACATTGGCTTAAAAACACCATTGTGCTTACGTACAGCCTCTCCAAGCTGCTAATATGGCTGTAGAGTCTTAGTCTTGTTTAATAATGTGATATGCTGTTTGATAATTTATATACTATTGACCAAGAGTGTTGTCTTTCAGCACTGACTTCCAGAAGAATAACCCTGTGCACAAACTGACTGAAGAGGAACTCCTGGCCTTCACATCTGTAAGTCATTGCTTATTGTGATTTAAAATTTAATAGTTACACATGCTCATTTTGTGGCCTATTGCCCATAAAGGTAAGTCAGAAATAATTGGTGAAACTGATTTCCATGCATTTGCAGTTCACGGTTTTACCTTAAAGGTACAGTGTGTAATATTTCTGAGTATCTATCGACAGAAATGCAATAAGAGACGTTGCGTTGTCATGTTTTTACAGTAGTTGAAAGTGGACAAACAGCGCTACAGAGTGCCTTTTGTTACAACATTCTTCTTGTTCTACTTCTGGTAGAATTCAGGCAGTGCAGACACTCATGACTATGTTGAATATGCACGTTAGAAGAAGTAGTAGTAGTAATAAAATCCAGCAGGGGTCTGCAAATAAGTTTTGCATCGGAGCAATATTTTCATCCATTAATGGTGGCTGAGAATATAAGCCGTAATATTGACTTACTTCAACATCTGGTTCGTTTACCTTAGTTGGGAAGTTGCGGGGCTAGCAATCCAAGGGTTGAGTATTCGATCCCACCTCAGGACATCTTTTTTTTCTCTCTTCAACAAATGGATTCTGCAGCGATTGTTTCTCAGATCACAGCATGTGCTGCAGTGTTTGATCCTCATCCATCAACAATTCATTTCCCCAGTATCTCCAGGCAGAGGACATTTAGGGGAATCACGTTTTCTGACTGCTCTTTCAGAGGTGTGTCAAGCAGGCAACAGACTCTTTTAATGTCGTTCAGAATTTTTCAAAGTAAAAGCTCAGTTCAACTCCAACTACTGCATTACAGCAAACAAGCTTCTCGTGCTTTTATTTTGTAGGAAAAACCACTAATAAGGAAGTGATTGTGTGAGTAACTGTTGCTGTCATGACTGAGATCTATTCCAGCACCACTATCAAAGTATTTATTTATTTATATTTTATGCTGCCACCAAAGCACCATAATCTGGTAGCGGGCCAGATATTGTTGCTGGTGTGCAGTTTTGGCGAGGGTCCATAATCACAGAGAGAATGAATGTGTTTCATCGTTAACATGTACAAACTGAGATGGATCTGATAAATAGCATTGTGTGAACTCTTTTGGCAAGGGCTTGAATGTAACGGACATTAATTTATATGTAAAAGGTCCTGCACTCTAGCTTGAAATTATCAGTAGGATGTAAAAGACTTTGCTGTGGTCCACAAAAACCCCCCGATTTTTTTCCAACCTTTATTTATTCAGGGGAGCTTCACTGAGAGGAAGGCTCTCTTCTGCAGGAAGGCCCTGATCACATTCACACTGTTACAACCGCAGCCTGGTCTGCTGGCCACTAAGCAGCTCCACTGGAGCTGTTGGGGTTATTGGCCCTTGCTCAAGGGCACGTCTGTGGTGGTAAATGAGGGAGGGAAAGCTACACTGTTATTGTCTTTAAATTAAATCAATCAAAATTTAAAATGGCATTAGATTTTGTAATGAGTGAATTATGACTTTTTAAAGACTTGAAGCACACAGTTTAGGACTTGGACTTAATTGGGAACATTGGATCTTGACTTGGGATTTGACTTGGGAGTTTTTGGTCTTGACTTGGGAATTTATAGCCAAGACTTGAGAATTAATTGTGGCTTATAAAGCTTTGCGCAGCTCTGCTGTAACTGGACGATGTGAACTTGCAGTAAATTAGTTTCTAAAACTATTTCCACTTTGATTCACATTGAAGGAAACAATATGCATGCATTAACATACCTAATGACGGTATTCATAATAGCACATATGAAAAAAAAAAATCATGCACGTTGTTTGTCACTTCTACTTATTTTATGAAGGAAGCATTGGTTCCCAGACGTTCATCAAGTCCCAGTTTTTCATCTGATGAACCTTGTCATAAGACTTTCTGGTGTGCAAGAAATTCATAGTATAGTATAACATAGTATAACAATAGTGTATATATAAAACAACACATTTCGAGAGAGTAACTCACAGCTGATCCACTGTTAAAACATCCTTTGTCCTGAACCTATGACTTCTTCTGGTTATTTTGAACAATGAGCTGGCAGAGTATGCTTTATTGTCACTGTGCGGGATAAGAAAGCTGCAGGCAGCTGCTAGGTCTGTGAGCAGGCATCTTCCCAGTCTACATGTAGATCCAGGAATCTGCAGGCTGGTTAGATGGTTGTCACATGTCTGGCTGTCATCACTAATGTCGCATTCCTGGAGGACCATCTGGAAGTTGTGCTGATGTCAGTTATTACCTAAGCTTTCCTTGAAAGCTTATCAACCACCTAAAGAAGTAGTTGTGGTTTCAATTTCATATGATTAGATTATATTTAACTTTATTTTCACTATGCAGAGTACATAAAGGATTGTATATTTTTCCTTGAAGATATATATAAAAATGAATCAGGTTATGTCATCCCTTAAGGGAAAACCTGACTGTCAAACAGTCTCCAGATCTCGAAAGTGCATGCTCTCTGACCAGATACTGTGTGTGAAGCGGACAAACCTGGAATTATTGTCCTCTGGGACTTAAGAAAAGTAACCTCAGCCACCAACTCCCCAAATACAGCTCTTAAATGCCCAATAACTTGGACATTGTTACAATACTTGGCAGTGCCTATCACGCCATCACCCACATCACACTGGAACACTCTACATACAGGCAGAAATTAAAGCTCTGTAAAACTGTTGTGAGGACAAAGCAATGGACCTGGGAAGCTATTTTCAGGACTGCTACCAACATTCTGAATGAGTAAACATAGGCTGTGACGTGATACATCAGCTTATGTATGTATCAGTATTATGTATGCATTATGTATCCATACACCAGCTCCAGCTCAACCTACCGCACCACAGAAGGAGCCTTTCTACAACTGCCAACCCCCACTAGCACTCTCTACATCCTAGAGAGGGATGTCAACACACTGTTCAAGAGGCAGGAAGCCTGCAAAGCAGCCGTACCAGACTCTGTCTCTGCCTCCACCCTGAGGCACTGTGCCAATCAGCTGTCAACTGTTCAGACATCTTTCAAAAAAACAAATAGCCTACAACAGGACTAGGAATATAGAGCCATTGCTCAGAATTTTGATAATCCAAAAAATTTAGTTATAATGGAACAACTTCTTGTTAGGTTAAAGACAAATTAGTAGTAGGTGTGTCTGAGTAACACGAAACTTGGGCCATCTATTCACTATGCCACTAAATAGCACCTTGTTGCCAAATCATGAAATACTTTTCTAACTCCTTGACTGAGCGACTCAAAACTTTGCACATAGAAGCTATGGAGTGTCATGGTCAAAGATATTAAATCATTTTGATTCTCCAAAAGTTATGTACTGAACTTGGGCTGCCTGGGGGCTTGAAACCTGTTAATACCTGCTTGCAGGTCTAGTTTCCATTTAATTCTATTTTCAGGTTACAGTTGTTGAAACCTTCCACCCCTTATATTATACCATGTTAGGGAGGAGTTTTGCACATTGAACCACTGGAGGGACATAATACAGAAGTGTTGAGTTTTGGGACTGTTGCTTAACAGTTATTAAAAACAGAAAATTTTAAGGGAATTGAAATAATTAGTGAATGTAACAGTATTTCTGATCAACTGACTAGTAGCCGTGACATGACTTTTTTTACCAAGATAACAGTGCGCGCACAACACAAGGTTCAGAATCTCTGCAGATTCTGTGATGAATTAATTGTTATCTGCCTGTCAAAAGTGTGAAGTCTTCAGAGAGAAGCGTGGATGAACAGAGAGGTCTGCTATCACTGAAGGTTACACCGCTTTCAGATCAGGTGACGCACTGGCCTACAGTTCATCCAGGGCTAACCTGAAGAGGGCCATCAAGAGGGCAGCCACAAACTAAGGATTAAGGAGCACTTCAACAACAACCCGGACATGTGGCAAGGCATCCAGGCCATCATGAAAAGAACCGTTTTATTATAGGCAGCCATTGAGGCTGTGCTCCACACAGACCACCAGCTCCTCACTCTCCACCAACGACGTGTGTGCTGCACTAACACACACACGTATGTTGCCTGTCAGCCTTGGCAAACAATGCGCTGCTGTCTTCTCCTTGCGCTCTAAGATGCTGTTAAAAGCTATAAAATTGATTACTATTTTATTTCATGAGCTATTTGGTAGAATGCATAGGCCTTATCATAAAAAAAAAAAAAAAGCATTCAATTTTAAAAGTATAATATGCATGATGTTCCTAATACCTCGTGCAGACTACACGATTTTCATCAGCAATGGCCATGCTGTTCAGACTACACGTTCATCATCGACCAATGGCATGCTGTTCAGACTACACGATTTCATCATCGACCATGGCCATGCTGTTCAGACTACCGACTTTCATCATCGACCAATGGCCATGCTGTTCAGACTACACGACTTCATCATCGACCAATGGCCATGCTGTCAGACAACACGACTTTCATCAAGACCAATGGCCAATGCTGTTGACTAACACGACTTTCATCATCGACCAATGGCCATGCTGTTCAGACAACACGACTTTCATCACGACCAAAGGCCATGCTGCGACAACGACTTTCATCATCGACCAAAGCCATGCTGTTCAGACACACGACTTTCATCATCGACCAATGGCCATGCGTTCAGACTACAACGACTTTCATCATCGACCAATGGCCATGCTGTTCAGACTACACGACTTTCATCATCGACCAATGGCCATGCTGTTCAGAACACGACTTTCATCATCGACCAATGGCCATGCTGTTCAGACTACACGACTTTCATCATCGACCAATGGCCATGCTGTTCAGACTACACGACTTTCATCATCGACCAATGGCCATTGCTGTTCAGACTACGACTTCATCATCGACCAATGGCCATGCTGTTCAGACTACACGACTTTCATCATCGACCAATTGGCCATGCTGTTCAGACTACACGACTTTCATCATCGACCAATGGCCTGCTGTTCAGACTACACGACTTTCATCATCGACCAATGGCCATGCTGTTCAGACTACACGACTTTCATCATCGACCAA